ACTAACAAGAGAAAAAAGCAACAACAAAAAAAAGAGCAGTACTAGTGCCTGAAATCATGAAACGCTTTAAAAGTAACATACACTTACTGTTCAAGTTTGAGGTTTCTATGTTTTATAAGAAGTCTCTTACACGACTGCAGTTATTCGATCAAAAATACAGTAAGCTAAAAATGAAAAAAAGGAAAACTTTTTCAATTTTCAATATATTACACACACACATATATATATACATATATATATATATGGGCTGTCAAACGATTAATTAAAAGTTAAAAGTCCAAAATAAAAGTTTGTGTTTACATAATATATGTGGGTGCACGGTGTATAATTATTTTGTATATATATATATATAAATATAAATACACACACATGCATGTATATTTAAGAAAAAAATATTATTTATATCTAAAATATTTATATTTATATATAATATAAATTATATATAAATGTATATACAGTATATACATGAAAATATTTCTTAAATATATACAAGCATGTGTGTGTATATTAGGGCTGGGTATTGAGACAAATTTCACAATTCGATTCGATTTCGATTCACAAGCTTGCAATTCGATTCGATTTCGATTACGATTCGATATCGATTATTTTGGATATCAGTTACAATAAATGGCCATTTTTCTCTAGGGAATCAAATCTCTAAAATGCTGTAAACTATGGGAGTCTAGTTGTAGCCAATAGGCTTCATTGTTTTGTAGCAATACAAACACTTAAATTACACTTTTATTTATTTTTATAATAAGAAGATTATATAATGAAATATAAACATTTAAATGGTGGCTGTCATAAAAACTTGCCAGATTTATTCAAATATGCATTTAATATTGAAGAACATTAAGATTATAATGCATATGCAATATGGTGTATATATTTAGCAAAATGCTCCTCTCTGGTGTTATTTTTTCTAGCTGACTAACGAGTTTATGTGGGTTTTCTGAGGTAAATATGATGATACATTGATTACAAGCTGTAACTGACGTCTTTCCACGGTTGAAACGCTGATTGAGGGAATCAATGTGACATGATACGGATTTCGATAAGTTGTACTCTATCTTTAACACACTTTCAGATGCTCATTCATGTTTATTTCGCGCTGTGACTGGTATTATTAAGCCGGAAAAGAGATCAGCGCTGCTGCTTCTCTTGAGCTGCACCAGAGCGATCTCACGCCACGGCTTGAATTTCTAAAGAAAATGGACGTAATTTGAAAATTGAGACTTTGTCATATCAATAGTACCAAAGGACAAAGATTATTGCGATTTGTTGGATGCGCGCAGCCGAGATACAATGTCCCATTCATTCAAATGAAACAGAATGACTAATCGATTCTTGAGATTTAAGAATCGGTATCGGTTCGTAAAAATGAGAATCGATTAATATCGAGAGATCGATATTTATTACCAAGCCCTAGTGTATATTTATATATATATATATATATATATATATACACACACAAACTTTTATTTTGGAAGCGATTAATCGTTTGACATATATATATATATATATATATATATATATATAGACCCACAAATCTTGAATGGCAGTGCACATAAAAAAAATAACAAATATCCGAATTTCAATTTGATGATAAACTTCATTGTAATGTCTATTTCTGAATTATAGACTCAGAAAAGGTCCCAATCTCTCACAGTCACAAATCGCTGACACAGTCATCAGTCATGGCTTACACGCCTAAATGAGGACAATGATGTGTGGGAATAGATTGTGGAATTGCTTTGGGATTAGCGTTAGAAAACGTGAGCGTCAAGCTGAGCTACACCACATTAGCTCAGTAACCCTTGGAAACTGCTTGTGGGCCAGTTCTGTTTTCTACACTGAGAGCCAGCTTATACTGAACTATTAAAACAAAAAGAAATATAATATATGAACCAAACGCATACATATGCTGCTATCTTTATATTCTCTCTGTCTCGCACAATAATCACATGACTTAAAAGGAGGAAGGAAGGGATGACAGGGCCACCAGGTTTCATGAGGCCCTTTGGCCTAAAGAGGAAGTGGTCCAATTTGCTGAGGGACGCCAACAGACTTCTTTTCCCCACACTGTCATGCTCTTCCTCTCCAGAGCATCTCCTTTCCTTTCTGCTCAGTTGGTTCCTCTAAAAGTCTCAAACGGTTACCGACAACTGGCAGTTAATGTTTTGTCATCTCATTACCCACTGGCTTCAAAATGCTATTCTGTTTCCTAGTCAAATGTCAAAGCCTTGGTGGGAAACCACAGCTTACTAACATCGTAGCTATTCGCAATACTCAATTTCAGGGACTCAAAAAGATAGTTTAAGCATCTGAAATTGAAAAAACCCCAAAATCAACAATTAATCTGAACATATAGGGTTTACAGACCCCTAAATACAGTGACACTAGACAAATACCGAGGGTAATTCAGGCTGGTTATTCTGACACGGCCCTCCAGAGGAATCAGCCCCGACAGCTGTATTAGAACTGCCATTTACAAAGTCAGAGATATTTGCTTCCCTGACGGACCCCATGTATGTTTGCATACGGTAACGGTTTGACTCCCACAAGAACGCTGCTGGGATGTTCTACAGCTCAAAGCAAGAACCACTGTTAACCGCAACAATCGAGACTATAATTAATTATACAAAACAACCAAGAACTACTACACGAAAGCGATACACCTGAAACCGACACATCAAAGCTGACGTGGTGGCACTATCTAAAGTAGTTTCTTCCAGGACTGAACCCAGGGTGTTCAAACAGCGGGCGGCCTTCTTCGAAAGGAAGTCCATCTCTTTATTTTGTTATTTTCAACAGAGCCAACAGACCGGCATTCCTCTGTGCCCAAGAGGACACACTATCACAGGGATTTCCTTCCTCTCGCTCTGAGCGACAGGATCGGGGTCAGACCCCAGTAGGTCATAACGACCAAGCAGCACTCAAGAATTGGTATTGTAACAAGCTTGGCATCTCAATTTGAGAATTATGACATGTACAAATTATGATCACATGTATTACAGAGAATTGGATGACATAAGTAGAAATGACAAAAAATGAAGCAACAACAAATCTATGACTGCATTAACTCATACAGTAACAGAAAGTTAGTGAACTGACAACACAGTTTTGAGACAGGAAATGTAAGGGTGACATACACTTATCTGCCTTGGGCAGTGACAGATATATTGCTGTCTATTTTCCATGATTGGGAATGACAAGTGTTTGCTCAAAAACAGGAAATGATATGTACTTGGTTAGCAGTTGCACAATGTGTCACAGATATTCCACGAACCCATTTTACACTGGAAAGTGTATACCACAAAAAGGTGCATTCTGTAAAGCTGCTATGAAATAATACGTCTTGTGAAAAGCGCTATACAAATACATTTGAATTGACTTTTGACAATTTTGGAGAAATTATCTATGAAATTTTATGGGCAAAAAAAAGGTCATTTGTCAACCAAGTAGCTTTCTGTTCAGCAGTGCAGCGGCATAGTAAAATCTGCAAAGGAAACACTCACGTGAAAATCCGGATTACTTTTGAATTTGCCCACAAAAATTCACTGGATAGTAAATGGCTGCACGTTAAAGGGTTAGTTCACCTAAAAATGTTCTGTCTTCATCCTCATGTCATTCCAAACTCTTTAAGACTTTCATTCATCATCTTCAAACACAAACGAAGATCTTTTTGATTAAATCTGAGAGACTTTTGTCCCTCCATTGACATGCTATGCAATTACCAATTAGTTTGACGCTTCAAAAAGTTCATAAAGAGATTGTAAAACTATTCCATAAGAATTGAGTGGTTAAGTCTCCATCGGTTGATCTCTTACAGGTTTAAAATGACATGAGGGTGAGTATTACTGAGTAATTAATGACAGAATTTAAATTTTTAGGTGAACTATCCCTTTAATGCTGCACTGATGCTGCATTTCATTACATAGAAGCAAAGCAGCAAAAGATGCAGAGTAGCTTCGGTGGATATTTTAGTTATTTATTTGACATGACATTTTTATACATGCTTCAGAGCAGACACAAAAGCCACCTCAGAGCAGCCTGTGTAAAGACACCTTTGGAGAAAGGCAGTTATAATTTCACAAGAGCCCCGTCATTAAAGATCAAGCCATTAAAAATGCATGGAGAAGCAACAGGATCTTCTTTAACAACCTCTTTCAGCGACTTCAGTCTCATATCTCTTCTTAAAGGACAATATTCAAAATGTCACATCCAACTAGGAGTCTATGGGGCCCAGTGATGTTTTCTGGTCTGCCAAGAGGAATGCAACATGGGTGTTTTTAATAATTATTTTCGTGACCCTGAAAAGCACGAGTGCATAGTATTACTCCGTGATCTGACAGTCAGTCCAACGTGAAAGAAAACCGAGTCTCATTTTCTCCAATTCTTCTTGAATGAACTAGTCATCTTCCTCGACTGAGGCACAGAACAGAACTAGGCGGGGCCGGTAATCAGTCAAATCTAGAAGGAAAGACTGCACTAGAAGCGCTAAATGTGCCTTTTATCACAATGCCGGACACTCCTTACTCATCTCTTTACGTAAACCATGTCGAAAAATGGTGCTTTAACGGTTTGAATCTGATAATCAATGCTTCGTTAAACTACTCATTCGTACAACTTTTCCATTTCCGCTATAACTTCCACCCTGCCGTGGACATGAAACAACAAAAAACGCCATTCTTCAACACAACGCCGTTAACCTCGCGCGCTTCGACACAAACTTCCCAGCGATTTTTCTCGCCCTAAAGAGTCTGGTAAATCTAAGGAGTTGAATTGTTTCACTCCAGCTCCGCCATATTCTAGACATCTGAGCTGCTCTTCCGCAAACCCTTTGCCGGGTCTGCTCTGCAACATTGGAACATTCCGCCGTTCAGCCGTTACAATGTATCAATCAAACAGTGACATTATAATCCCCTCACAGTTCCCGCGCAATACACGCGCCGTTGCGACTGTAATGCCATAGAATATCGCGCAAATGCGATACTTACAACAATCCGCTCCAGCTCCAGCCAGTCAGTCCGTCTGCGCCTGTGCCTGTGAAAGAGCTGCTCGCCTCTGGGAGGGTGGGTGAGGTTTAGAGTCGAGCATGACGTTACAGCCTCGGTTTCAGCACCATAGGCTCCCTAGCTCTGCCTACAATTGAGCGTAACGGGAAACGGAGAACGAGCGCTGCTAAATTTTGCCCATGGAAATGACAGTGCTGATAGACATATACAGTATAGGCTACTTACAGTACAAGATAGGGAAAGAATTCTCAAGTGCTGTAGCGTAGTATGGTATGTGATTGTATACGATGGTGTTACCACCATGTTATATACATGTTATTTCAAGGTATTTCCAAAAATGCACTGCCTTACAATGATACCATATCCCAAAAAGAATGGTAGCCAATGTACTTTAGCCTACTAAAAAAAAAATAATAATTTGAAGATGACTGACAGATAGAATAAAATAATGTTATATAGCATATTTAGCCTATAAATATGCAGCTAAACTATATTTTATTAAAGAAAAAGTGCTATGTCCTGAGTGACAGAGTGAAACTTCAAAAAAAAAAATTAATAATTTCAGCGAATGTTATATTTCTTTTTATAAAAACAAAAATTAAAAAAACAACAACACCACCACATTTTGTGAAAATTCGAGAGATTGCACTCAAATATAGATCTTTTTGGTACTTTTCTGTTAGTGTTTCTACACGTTTATGCGAGTTATTTGATGGTTATGATATCCAAAAACAGCCCAAATCACAGTGAATTGAGGCACGTTTAAACGTCATGCTATATTTCAATGGCATCATTCTAGTCTCAGGATGGCATGAATGGTCTCCTATTCTCCCCGAGCAGCAACTCTCATCCGTCAGAGGCTGACTCTGCCACTGTGGGGGGAAAAATCCTCAGCGCCAGTCAAATGGCTCATTGAGAGCAACTAGGAGAAGCCAGGAATGCCAAGTATGCTCTCTGGCATCAGGAATGCAGGCCCACTCCCTGCTGTGGACTACATCCCCTCCCCTCTGCCAGCAGTCATGTGGCCCTAAGCTATAAATGAGGGGTGAGATGTGTTCCATCGGTGCGTCTTTAGTTGCGGATCAGTGACCAGTGTGCTGGTCTCACAAGGAAACTGAGAGACAAGACAACATCAGTAATGTCGCCAGTCGCCATGACTGGGTGAAAGGGAGAGCATCATATGAGACCGAACCACTGAACTAAATGGAGAGAAGAGGAATGAGATCTTTGCTTGCTTTCAGAATTGTGAAAGTGCGAGGTGTTGAGGCAAATATAGGCCTACTTAAGCCATTTAATGTTAAAAGTACAGAATGTTCTATTGAGAGGGAAAGATGGGAGGGGGAAAAAAAATGTGAGCTTAATTTCTATTTTTGAATCAATTAAATTACAATTTTAAATACATTAAAATAAATAAAAAATAGTTGTGATAGTTATAATACTTCTATGATATAATAATACATTTACATTTTACATTAGTCATTTAGCAGACGCTTTTATCCAAAACGACTTACAACTGAGAACTAAAGCAAGCGAGTCATCGTGAAGAGGCGAAAACAACGCATATGTAATGTGTAAATGCAATGAGAAGACTTGTGCAATGTGACAATTTGTGTCCAATTCCAGTAAACAGAGATAAATAGGGAAAAGAGGAACATGAGCAAAAAATTTGCATTCAAAACTGTGAAAGTCTGTAAAAAATAGGCAAATTTCAGTATTTAAAATATTTACAAGACTTTTCATGCCGCTTGAACATCCAAACTATCTAACTTATGCATACATGAGCACAAATGTTAATTAGATGCAAAATTTGACATGCTCAAATCCTTGTTTAGATTTATAAAATTAAAAATTTGCTTAAAAATATTTTCAAGATTTGTTATCACAACATTTTTTCTTTTTTCAAATCAACTTAAATAATTTATTTAGTTGAGATAACTTATTATTTTGAGTTTCTGATGATTAAATTAATCTCCTTTATTGTATTGACTCACTTTTTCCAGTTCAATCAATTTAAAATTTTAAGGCAAGCAGGTTACTTACTTTTTTAAGTTAAACCAACAATATTTCTTTACAGTGTAATTTCTTACAGGAAAACTGCAAATTTAATAGCAACTAAGCAAAATTGCACCAATACAAGCAACGTGTTTATTGTATAATACAATTATTTTATTGTGATCTTGTTGAGTTTGTTTAATTTTGATTGAAAAAAAGTTACATTTTACTGAGCCGTGTATTTTACTCTTCTACACCAATTCATTTTTTCCCCTATAGCAACTCACAATACATCTTAGCTACATCTGCATTTTATTCTTAAAAATATCAAGGCACAAATGCAGATAAGGCAACAAAAGCAAGACTGTGAATGTCTGTATGCATTAATAGTTCTGTTTTTGTAAAGTGGATTGTGTAATTTTCCATCTTGGGGAGAGGTGCCAAAGTTAATTTTCCATGTGAGTGGACAATAAAGATCAATTTTATACAAGCAACTTATGGTTAATATTGTTCTATTGTATTATTGCTATATGATGTATTTTAAAGTAATAGCAATAAGTGAGCAGAATTGAGATGATCAGCCCCTGTAGCAGTGAATATATAACATATAGAGGAACTTCCATCTGTGAGGCTGCGCGGAAACTCAAGCACTTGATATTCTTAGCTCTTCCTGTCAGGGTGGACATTCAGTTTCTCCATGACAATCAGAAGCCACTAGATTCTTTGTTGTTGTCATTATAGGCAAAAATAAATAAATAATGTGATATAAGTGAAATAATACAAGAGTATTAACACTGAACCTTAAGAGAGTTTGTGTGTACACTTCTTTTCATGACTTATCCAAAAGAGAGCACTGTTGCTCCAAATCTACATTACAATCAAGGAAGTGTGTAATACCTGGGCTGGAACCAAAATCACATACTTCTCTACTATATAGTAAGCCCAAAACAGTATGTAACAAAAGAGGTATGTCCAAATTTACAGTATAAAAGAGTAGGCAAAAAGTACACGGATGGCCACCTCTGAGATTCTGAGTGTGCATTCGATGGAAACTCATATCCCATGAGGTCACAGGATTTGTGAATGGCAGTGATGTAACAAACGTGATGTAATTTCGTCTAAACGTCTAGATTATTTTCATACTACAAATATTCATACCATATAGAACATAAGCTACTTTTTTAGTGTTAACAAAGTACTTATTCCATATAAGTACATACTGTAGCGAGATTATGCGATTTTGGACACAGCCCTGAAGTATGTGGCCTGTATGTTGCCATACATACTTGTGGGCACTTAATGGGCATTATCATTACATTATAGTAGAAACATTAGATTATTGAAGGGGTTTTAATCTATTATTTTTATTCCACTTCTTTTAGTAATTTGTATGCTATCTTTAGTTATACATGAATACAATACTCACTTCACTGGAGTCTAAAGGAATCTTCTGGATGTTGTTCTTTAGCTGTCATGATGCCATGACTAATGATGACAAATCTGACTAAGCCAAAGCTATACGGATAAACTCACACTACACACTAAGAATGACTTACAAGAAATACAGATTAGGAGGAAAACCCCCAATAGAAAGACTTCCTCTGAAGAGAAAGTGGGGCTGTGTCTTAATGGAAAGGCTTGGCTATATCACATTGCTCAAAAACAATAGACTACCTCATGGTTCTTTTGAAAGCTGCCAGTTTGCAACTTCAGATTTGCAAAGACATTTCAGGAAAACCTGAACCCTAAACAACGATAGACAATCACTCCAGCCATCTCTATTTACTGATCTCACTAATAACATAGGGCCTATGAAGCCGGTTTCGGTCGCTAGCCTACTCGCTAGCTAGATATGTTTCGGCAGTGTTTAGTAGTGTTTATCACCATAATAACTTACGCTTCACAACTAACCTGGGGTCTGTACCACGATGGTAGTTGAACAAACTCAGGGTTGCAGGATTAGTTTTGAGTTGACAAAACCAAACCAAACCAATCCAACCAGACTTTGTTGGTACCATGATGATCATCTTTGCTTTAGAATCGATAGATAAAGCTATAAAATGACTACATGTGAGCTTAAATATTCAATTCTCTCTATACCTTTCTTAACTGTAAAAACTAACTTTTTGCGCTCCTTTAATTGCACTCCTTTTGCAAGAAATGAATCACAGTTTCACTCTTTCTCAGCATGTGATGTGATAGTTGAGATCAGCAACATGGTACCAACAAAGCCTGGTTGGATTGGTTTGGTCAACTCGAAAATGATCATGTAACCATGAGTTTGTTCAACTACCATCATGGTACAGGACCCTGGTCAGTTTGTTTCAGGATTTAATATATATGTATGTGTGTGTATTATATGTATGTTTGTAGATAATCTACAAACATATATATAATACACACACACACACACACACACACACATATAGTCAACACACTACAAACACACAATAAACAAACATGTAAAATTTGACAGCACTATTGTACACACACACACACACACACACACAGGCCTATAAATACACGTCATGTACACACAAACAAGATATATTTAAAATTTAGCCAATATTTAATGCATAAAAAAGATAAATAGTGCTAATGAATGTATTTTAGTCAGTTAAAACAGAGTTTCAGTAACACATTTTCCATATCTTTCAGACCCTCCTTAAATGCAAGAAAAAAAGAAAACATTTTTAAAAAACAAAATAAAAACAAATCTGCCTCATCATGGCGAACACAGTAGGCCAATATGTCAGTATAGCCTACTAGTTATGAGAAACAAAAACTATTTTACCATTCCATTTGTCATTATTCATATAGGCATAAACCGTAAACGATGTAACACATTAAAAACATAAAAATAGATTTGATCACTGGGGATTTCAATATTTTACAGCAGTCTGGCATGTTCATGTAGCTACCATATTAAGATTTCAACCTCTCATTACTGCCACAAGTGTTTTTTTTTCATAAAGTTCTCTGCAGAAACCAGAACAACAAGCAAAAAAGGTGAAGTATAGATATCTTATTTGTAGTACCAGTGGACAATATCATGGTGTTCTTCATATCGACTCATATTTCACATGATTCACACAGCGCACAGTAGCCTTTTGTAATGGAGGAAGCAATTCCATATTAGATAATAGGTCAGTAACCTTAATACACCGATGTGTATTACTTTACATATCCAATAGTGAAATGAAAGACTCGCCACCGAATCCATGACAAATTAATGGATAAGATCCAGATCATCTCGATCCGATGCGCTTGTTGTTGGCGGCGGCAGCGGTCCTTGAAGGAGGAGACCCGGGCGATTGTTTTTCTGTCCAGCTGTCGTCTGCCCAGTCGGATCCTTGTGGATACATCAGACCCCCGACTGAATCAACCAGTCCAAACAGAGCCACCAGAAGGGATAGCGCGGTTCCGATAAAGTAGATCTTCACAAAGCCTATCCCAGGCATGATTCGCTGCGAATGTCCAGGACTGGAGTGTCCATAAAACAGAAGCACACATTAGCCACGCTTCTATCGATACCGGAAGTAAATGATATTATCTTAAGTATACTATCAATAATAATAATAATAATAAAAAACTTGTGTAATTTGATTATAACCTGTAGCATAACTGTACGTTATATCAAATTTCGTCAAAAAGGGAAACACTTTATTAAGTACTTTTACTACTTTAAGATGCTATACAAAATGACCCACATACCCAACATAACAGACAAAATACCATAGACGAAAGTAAATGTTAGTCTTTCTTACCAAGAAAAATGTTAGTCCTGCTTCTGTCGGAATTTATTACAGCTGTGTCAGCCGATGTGTGTGCCGATTTCCTTTCTTTACTTTGTCCTGACATAGCCTTTTGTCCAGATGCGGTGGGAATTTCCAACATCTAACCTGGGTAGAAATTCCCGCGATGCGAAAGAACAGTTCGGATCTTTCAATGAACCGTTTGAACCGATTAACATGTCCGAACTGTGCTGATACGAATAGGAGCGGTTCTCGAGTCAAAGGCTCACTGATTATTTATCTTTTTAGCGTGAAAAAGTAACATACTAATCTAACTAATTTGTGGTAAAGGTAGTATGAGTAGTAGCCTATGCGGTTCCGAACTTAGCATGTTACTTCATAGCAAAAAGTGGGAACGTTACAAATGCTCTTAAGCGACGTTATGGTTACATCGAGTTTCAAAAAAACATAATAAACACCTATAGATGGCTTTATTGGAACGTCTTAAAACATGTAAGTTAGCCTAATCATAATGTCAATAAGGCGTGAAGGCGTAACTTGCATATTAAGAACCTTTTTTTAACAGTCAATGAACGTAAAATGATCGTTGGATTGTTTGTTTTTCGAACTGGTTCATCGAAACTGTTCAAAAGAATCGATTCGCTGAATTAAGTTCCATTCAATTTAGGGAATGAAACAGCGAAATAACCATTAGATCTAATCTATTGCTATGCAAATAAACATAATAACTATAAAAACTGCAGATTCAACGAATTATGGTGCCATAAAAGCCACATGAACTCATTGGTTATTCCAGTGAAACAGGATGTGCTTTGAGTCATCAGAAGAAAATGTGTGAGAAAAGTGAAAGTGACTAAAAAAAATCTTTGCACCAAAAACTTTCATTATTGCAGCTGGCATAGGTAAATTATATTTATAATTATATTGTGTTTTGTGTAAGAATTACAGTTGATGACTGATTAAATATTTCGTTGGGCTTTTGAATTGAATACAGAGACAGAGTAGTAACATATGGTAAATTGCAGAAAAAAATGAAACGAGATAAAAACATTTAAAATGGTCTATGCAGCCCTCTACTGGTGAAAAGAGAAATGGGTGATTTCGAAATGACCATACATGGTCGCTAGAGGGAGCAAAATGATTTATCAAAAAAAAAAAAAAATTTTTTTCTGGACAAAAGCAATATATTGTACCTGAACATGATAATTCACTAGTAGTATAGTAGATCTCAAAGTGCCATGACAATAAATTCTTATACAGTATTTTTGTAATGGGAGATGAATATAGTATTGTACTGTATTGCAGATAATAAGGAAAACAAATCAGGAAAATTATGTTCCAATTGTCATCTTACAACCTAAATTGTAAGAGAAGTGATGAGGGTCCCTGTTTAATGGGGGCATTGCATGGACAGTTATAATAATAATAATAATAATATTTATTAAATAATAATATTTTTATAAAAACAATCAGAAAAAAACATGCTGCTTTTTTTGATTTTCAAAAACAATCACTTGATTAGGATGCTTGTGATTTAAAAGTGTTTTTCCTTATAGGGGCCAAATGTCCCCACAAGGACAAGGATTTCGGATATTGCAACCTTTGTGGGTAAATTTTATCCCCCTAACGTAGGGCATACTCCCCCACTCCCCCTCCTCCCTCTCACACTAATTCCCTTAATGCACTGAATTGCCTAGCACACATGAGGAGCATAAGGGGGGTGTCATGAGTCTGTCACACTCTGTTTAGTAAATGGCACTCCCACAAAATGTGCATGAGATTCATTATCATGGAAACCACGAGATGACAAATGCCTCTCACATTTATAGACAACCATGTAGATAAATGATTTTACATAGTTTCTAATGTCTTGCATGCACGGTGTCATGTTTAGTGTGTGTGGTATTGAAGACAGTCAGCTACTGTTTTTTCATAAGGTCTTAAAAGGATTTCAGCCTAAGCTACTGCCTCCAATCAGCAACCACCTGCTTTTTCTTAGTACGAAGTACAGTATACAGGAAAATATATTCAGTTATAGTGCACTAATAACTAGTGCACAACACTATCAGCTGCTCAATAACATTATGTTTTGACATGCAGTCTGTGTCCTTGTCATTGGGAGGCATGCTCGTTAATAGAGACTTTGAATACACAAGTGCTATGAACATAAATACTTCGAAATTGGTGGGTTGTTAAGCAATTTTATAATTTTTGCATAGAAGACAGGAAAATAAATAAATAAATAAATAGGTAAATAAATAAATAAAAAAACACTAAGCCATATCTAGGGACCAGAAAATCAGATGGGATGGATGCTTTTAACTTAACTTTAGCAGGTCGGTAAAAAAGCAAACAGAACACATAGCAATAATGCCGTGTTAACAGACAATTTTATCATTTTGGGTTGTTTATTTTGTCTGGTTTTATCTAGTTTGTATTTTGTTTATTTTATCTTGCTTGGTTTCATTTTCTTGTTTTATCCAAGCTGTTTTGTTTGGTTTTATTTTGTTTGTTTGATTCATCTAGTTTGTTCTGTTTACTTGTTTTGACTTGTATGTTATGTCTGGTTGTCTTATCCATGTTTTGAGTTTGCTTCAGCTTATTTGTTTCACCTGGTTTGTCTTGATTGCTTGCTTGATCTCATCTGTTTGTCGGCTTTGTCTGGTTTTAGTTTTTTTGTTTCATATTGTTTGTTCTGTTTACTTGTTTGGTCTGTAGTTTGTTATATCTGGTTGTTTGTTTTGAGTTTGCTTCAGCGAATTTGTTTTATATAGTTGGTTTTGTTTGTTTGCTTGCTTGGTCTCATCTATTTGTCTGGTTTTAGTTTTTTTGTTTCATATTGTTTGGTCTGTAGTTTGTTATATCTGGTTGTTTGTTTTGAGTTTGCTTCAGCGAATTTGTTTTATCTAGTTGGTTTTGTTTGCTTGCTTGGTCTCATCTATTTGTCGGTTTTGTCTTGTTTTAGTTTTTTTGTTTCATATTGTTTGTTCTGTTTACTTGTTGTGTCCATAATTTGTTAGATCTGGTTGTTTGTTTTGAGTTTGCTTCAGCGAATTTGTTTAATCTAGTGTTGGTTTTGTTTGCTTGCTTGATTTCATTTGTTTGTCAGGTTGTTTTATGCCTTTAATGGAAGCAGCTCCACGCACACATTTATACTACACAGTCGGTGAAGTGCTTTCTCATCTTAATGGTCCCCAGGTCTAAATCTCCAATCCTCTTTGTGAGAGTGACATGTGCTCTTGACAGAAGCACAGCTAAAGCCACAAAAGAGAGAGACCGCGAGCACTAAACACTACTTTCTATCTCTTCACTGTCCTATTCTGGAACACCCTCAGGCTTGAACATTCTCTTACTATCTCTAGTTTATTTGTAAATCCCTCCTTCTCTGTCTTCCTATTAAAACAGCACTTGAACACACACGGACCAGAGGGATTCAGAGGTGGGAATATCTCCAAGGCGACACCCTTGTCTCCATGTGAGCAGGTGCGTAGAGCTTGGATCCACAGTTCCTGGGAACTCGCTCACCCTGGCTATGAGCTCAGTCAAAGCAAAACTGACCGCTCACCTCATCAAACACAACCAACAACGGGATCCCGGGACATGAAAGTGCTTTTTTAACTCTGGATTTACAGGGAGATAGATCACTTTAAGTTTAGTAGTTAAATCATTTTTTTTTCTCCACCTCTGAATCTTGGATCCATGATTTTGCCATTTTGAATAGTATTCAGGCACGAGAGTAGCTTGGACTGGTTGGATTTGTTTTGGAAATGAACAGTGCACAGACTTTATACCTAAACCGGACAGAGATGGAGGGGATTCCAGGAGACTTTAAACAGGAGATGAACCATGAGACGATGAACAGCACTGAATGTTCTCTAAATGGCTTCCCAGCTGTCCCTCATGTGCACGGACATGAGTCTGCAGCCCAACGCTACACAGTGAAATGCTTACAAGCAGGTTTTCCAGACAGGTAAGATAAGTCACAGAAATGTTAATGGTACGAATAAAAGCTACGTCTGATTTAGGTTGTGATAAATGAGACTTGAGCCTCACAATTTCTTCTGAGCTTGATTCTTTTTATTTATTTTTTTTTTTTTACGCATGCAACTTGGAAGATAAATCCCCCCTCCAGTCATCCTTTGGGGTCATATAATGCCATTATGCCAATAGTGCTATATGACCCTCCAGAGGTCATACAATGCCATTTTCATACAAGTTCATTTAATTCTTTAGGGTCTAAATGAAAAGTTTGTAATATACTTTAATTAAACAGTCTCATTAGTATTGTAAGAAAACACTAATTTTACCTGGTCAAAAACAGCTCTGTTTTCAGCACGTCGTTTCAGTGCATATGCCTTTAAATGATAATGAGCTTCGCTGACTCCGCCCCTCTGTTCTGCGGGCGTTTAGACAACACGCGTGGAGAGTTGCCTTGACAACAGTTGTCTCTGAGGACACATCAGTGCAATCGTGTCAGTTTGAACCGGAGTCGAACCCGGAAAGAAGTTTGACAATTAAGGTTCGAACAGGACGTTTCCGAATGGTTGGTCAACAAAGTCACTTTGACCCATCTTTGTATGTAACTTACTGGCAGGGTAACGTTAGAGTAACTAATAGTGAGATGTACGAACGCTATGTGTTTACTGATGAATAAGTACAGTTCTCAGTTTGTAATAACACAATAACCATAACGCGTTGTTCATTATAAACGTGGGATTATGAATTAAATTGAGAACGTGTACATAGAAAACATGGCGTAGTGTAAACCAGCCGCATTCATCGTGAAGCGTGCAAGCGATTTGGAAAGATTTATAGAAAGGTTAATACAATTTTACACACTTCTTCTGGAGGTGCAGCAGGGAACGTTAATAGTTGGTTGGTACCGATTCTTTTTTCAGGAGAATCTTCTTAGCCAGCTTTATTGTTTATAAAGAAGTCTAATGAGAAATGATTCGCGCAAACATGAAAGAATTGACGTTGCTCGTGGGAATTATTCCCTTTGAAAACAAAACTCAGCCACTCCATCTTCAGCGGTTCGGATTTAGGAACGTCAAAATGGCTGTGTTAGTTATTACACCCAAGAACTGAACACCACAATCGCTTAGACGCCACGGATTATGATGACAGCTCGCTCTGAGTAGCTCAGGGTGGGTTGGTGTTGAAATGCTGCTGTCAATCAACAATCGTGGGAGGGGCGTCCGACCGTGTGACGTCAGACGGGTGAACGGCTTGATTTGAGGCAGGTAAAAACTTATATGGAAGTTATTAAAACAAAAACACTGCATTAATTTTTATCATTAGATGCTGGTTGTGTACAAGCACTGCCAACACACACTTCAGTGCAATCAACTTGAAAAAGTCCATGTACCATTATATGACCCCTTTTATTAAATGCAAGGCTCGTTCTAATCTCTAATCTTTAAGCCATCAAGACTAGGGGATAAAATAGGCTGGTATAATTGAATCTTAAAGTCTGAAGCAGGGTCAACAAATGCTGGCCTTTAAAAGAGCTATTCTGGGCACAGCAGATCAGTCTTCTCCAGCTAAAGTCCTGTGAAGTCCTGACAAAGTCCAAAAGGGTCAGAAACACTGAAATAGCTGCTGGGGCAGGAAGGTATTCTGACTCACAGGTCCACTGACCCACATATGGTGAGGTACATATAACCGCTTCACCTCTCTGTTGTGACGGGAGGAGACAAGGGTCAGGGATTTTAATGACTATACAGCCTCAGACACAAACACACACTGCTATTTTTAGACAATGGAGCCATACTGATTTTCTGTACTGTGACTTAACTTGTCTAAATAAATGATACAAACGTACTTCCCATCTCACCCTGCTGGTCTAAAACTCCCTGGGGAATCATGGGATTGCTACTCTGATAATTTTGAGTAGGGGTCAAAACATGTAATACATTTTTTTTTTCTTTTTTACAAAAGAAAGCGTTAATACGCACATTAAACGACTGTTACTGATTTGATCAACATTGTTTCGTGTGGGGAATGTACTGGCCAGTCAATGGAGGGAATTTTGTATTGAATTTCTTTTAAGCACTGTCATCCTTTAGCAATTGGCATTGGGTAATTGGTTGTGGCTGACTTTTAAATCTAGCAGTGGTGCTAGACAATTACCAAGGTCTGTCCTGTCTCTGCATTTAACATTATGGAAATGGGTCATTGGGTCGCATTTATTCAAGTCCTCTCATGAGACAGGAGAGAAAAATCCTTTTTTTAAAACACATAAATGAAGTTCATACATTGTCAATACAAATGATGAAGAGGTTATTTAAGTTATTTTGATATTTTTGTAGGGGAACGGGCTTTGTCCATTTTCTCATGCACTCAAGAAAAGCTTTTTAAGAATAAAAGAGTATTTATTCTTCTATTTATTCATTCTACTCTCGTGTATATATATATATATATATATATATAAAAAATGTACGAGTAACACTTTATAATAACTGCACACTAATAATCATTAGTTAAGCATGAATCAATTCATCATTCATAAAGCATTAATAGACAAGCAGTTTATAAATCCAGGTATAAATGCTTTCATCTTGATTTAAAAGCATATCTATAATTTGTTTAATAATTGTATTTTCATACTTTATTAATAATCAATTTATCATTTCTAAATGAAGAATTGCATTTTTTAAACCAGTTATTTAAGAGTTGTCAGTGGTTCATAAGATTACTTAGAGCATGTAAGTAAATGATTAATAAACTATTTAAATGTACATTTATACGTCTTCTTATTCAGACATATAGTGATGGTTACTGAGTGTGTTAATAAATGCTTTATTAACATGTATTTATGCTGTAATTAAGGGTTAATTCAGGTAGTTATAAAGCATAGTGGTCAGTTAACAATGTTTGTGAGCTCATCTAAAGTGAGGACTACTCATGCCTTATAAAGCATTTATAAAGGAGATTTAAAGTAAATATTTCTATGTTCGGTATCACTGTGTTGTGTTGTTACATTTTCACTCTAAAAAATGCTGGGTTATTTTAACCCAATTTTGGGTAAAATATGGACAAACCCAGCCATTGGGTTACATTTTTAAATGACATTTTTTACCCAATGGCTGGGTATGTCCATATTTTACCCAAAATTGGGTTAAAACAGCCCAGCATTTTTAGAGTGTGTTTAGAAGATTGATGGGCCTTTAAATCTCCTTTATAAATGCTTTAAAAAGACAGGAATAGATGAGCTCACAAAATAGTCAACTGGCTACTACCTGTATTTACTTACACTTTCTAAGTGATCTTATGAATGACTGACAACTCTTAAATAACTGCTTTGTAAATAATGCTATACTTCATTTAGAAATTATTAATTGATCAAAGTACAGAAAGTATGAAAATACAATTATTAAATGCATTATAGATATTATAAATCAAGAAAAAGAGCATTTATAGCTGTATTTATAAACTGCTTATTAATGTCTGTTAATGCTTTATAAATGATGAATTAACTTTTTACTAATGCTTAACTAATGATTATTAGTGTGCAGTTATTATACCATTCTGTACATAAATACACACATATGCATGTAGGCTATACGTGTAAGAAATATGTGCATGTATACTTCTTTATACATAATTTCCATTATATATAAATACATTTTTTTTTTTTGTGTGTGGGCTATTTATATACAAAATTAAGTCTACACAGTAGGCCTACCTACACATTATGTAAACACAAACTTTTATTTTGGATGCGATTAATCGTTGCCCAGCACTATTTTTTCACTAGGGTGAGCATACAGTATAGAGTACATAAACAATACATTACAGACTAATGTTGCGGTAATGAAAGAGTTAACCATGCCATCGCGTCACCACGTGGATGTGGAGCAGTGAGGATATGACGCGCGCTCTCTGTGTCTGCCTCGCTTTCCACATAAAGCCAGACACATCACAAAAACTCAATTCAAACGGGATCATCTCAAGGATCTGAAAACTGGGGAAATAGTCTATATAGAGGCATAAACCTTTTTCTTTTAGATAACATTCTCATACAGACAGTAGTAAACTGAGTTTTCCATCTGACGCGCATCTGCTCCAGAAACACGCGTGTTCATCTACAGAAAAGGTTTGAAGTATTTTTTACTCAAGTATCATGTTAAATGTGCCGCTTTTAGAAATGTGTTGCAGGACGAGCTCTAAACAAAGAACATCTTCACCAGATGAAAGTTTGCTTTTGTTTCGATTTGGAGACTCTGGGTTTCCCTGACTTACATTTAGTTACTCAATGTAGGTCAGCGGGCCAGTAGTGCGAGTGTGTAACGTTAGATTACTGCGTTCAAAGACAAAATCCATGATTTCTCGTTTCTGTGCACGTGTCAACATATGTTCCGTTATATTTTTAAATCGCGCGTGCACATGGAATAATGTTGCGCAGCATCGATACGGTTGTCAATCGATTTTGTTTTCAGAAACCAAACGTCTTGTTCCCAACATTGTTAATGTTTCACACTTCGCAACATGTGGTTTAATATAGACAGATTATGCGACGCTTCCTGGTGACGACACCTTTCTGAATGTGCTTTTCACTCAAATAAAATGGTTCAGCAATGCATTTCCTGGAGTAAATACTACAGCTTTCAAAGCAGCAAAATAATACTACTAAGATTTTAAACGAACGTATAAACAAATTGAGATTGCCACATATGTGTAAAGACCGGAATGATCACAGATTTTTGGTCGTAATGGGACAATAGCGCGTGGCATATCAGCTGATACTTGGGCATTTAGATTTTGACCTCAGACAGAATCAATAAAAACAGTGACATTGCCACAGTTTATAAAAACACCCACATCGCAATAGCCAAATAGCAGCCATTTTAAACATTTTGAAAAAAAACAATGGCATCCTTATTGGCATAAAGAAAGTAACTTTCCAAAATCTATATGCTATAAACTAGTTCAGTAGTGTCCAAACCTGCGCCTGAAGGGCCACCGTCCTGTCCTGAAGAGTTCAGCTCCATTTGTCTGCAGGTTTCAAGTAATTTCAAACATTGTAATTGATTAGCTAGTTCAGGTGTGTTTAATTAGAGTTTTAGCTGACCATGCCTGATTGGACACTAGTGGCCTGGTCAAATATCTTTAGTGAATTTTGGGTAAATATTGTAAAAAATAAATGTCATTTATATTTATAAGCTTGTGGCCAGGTTATCGTTATTAACATTGGTCACCACTGTTAATATTGAATATAAATGAATAAATGGTTAGAAACTGAGGGAAGAACAAAGGCCAGTTGCACTGAAAAAAGTTAGGTGACAATTTTCACCGAAACACAAATAATTACAAAGAAATGGCTTGTAACATGTCATTTTGAAGTAGAAAGTTAAAAATAGTATTTTCTTGTAATGTAGTCTAACCCTAACTTCAAAAAAAGTTCTCTTGATTGGTGGAGCTTTCTTTGCAGAATCATGGGTAATGTAGTTTTTCTCCAAGAATTCTTCTGCTAAACATGATTCCGTTAATGAAAACTGATGGCTTCAACAAAAGCATAAACCATCGATTAACAACATTGTAGGTCACAGTAGGAAGTTGTTAAATCATTTCCCCATTATATGGAGAAAATGAATTGTATTTTTACTTGCAGAAAGTGCTGAAATGATTGAAGTTATAGTACATGACTTTACAATCGAAAGCAAAGTGGCTGGTTAGCACTGAAGATAACGGTGTGTTACATACAGGTTGTGTTTGTGTATTTCCATTTCCAGTATGGCAGACTATCTGATAAGTGGAGGAACGGGCTATATCCCTGATGACGGACTGTCCGCCCAGCAGCTCTTTTCCATCGGAGATGGTCTAACTTACAAGTAAGTACTTTTCATTGGGTTCCTCTCCCTGAGTGATACTCTGTGCGTATGTAATGGGCATCCACATTACAGATCAGAACAGAAGTCTGTCCGAGACGGACTCACGGCGGAAGAGCTTTGCTCTATGGGGGACGGTATGACTTACAAGTGAGTAACACAGCCCTTCATGACATCATCTTCTAGTGATGCAAGCGTTCCAGCAGTATCTAGTCAGGACGGTCTATTTAGGGTCCTCGCTGTTGGGAGACAATCAAAAGATTTTGCTTTTTAATCTCTGGTGGGGGAACATGGTTTCAGCTCTATTATATAAATTAGTCTGGTTAAGCCAGGTTATATTTATAGTTTGCATGACTGACTTGGTTTTCTAAGAAACTAAAAAGATAATTCACTCAAGAATGAAAATTGTCATCATTTACTCTCCTTCGTGCCTTTCTAAAATATTTTTTTTGCATGATTGACTTGGTTTTCTAAGAAACTAAAAAGATAATTCACTCAAGAATGAAAATTGTCATCATTTACTCTCCTTCGTGCCTTTCTAAAATATTTTGAAGAACATTGGGGGTTCAAATGAGATTGGTCCCTATTGACTTTCATTGTAATTCAGGTTTGGAACAACATGAGGGAGAGCAAATGGTGTCATCTTTGACTTTGTCAGGTCAAACTTGTGACCTGAGGAGTGACATTAGGACAGTGAGTTCATGAACAGTGCAGCTCTTAGGGTTTAGATTACAAGATGAAAGGTCCATCTTTATAACCATCTTATCTGTAATCAAAAGCGTGTAGGGATGCATCGTGGACCGCATGACTGTTCTCACGCTGCCCTCGTGGGCGGGGGGGTTGAGAAAACACAATTATGACTGGCCCCCCCCCGACCCACAGATTTGACACGTGCATGTGTGTTGAATCGATTTGTGTAACGCACGCATGAGTGTTTGCACAATTTTGTCTTTGTAGGGCATGTGACACATGAGGCTCAGACCTCTGCTGTATTGATGCGAGATGTCTCATCTATATGTTACTTTGCAGGTCTGTTGTACTTTTTTTGAATGATTCCTTCATTTATTTAACCGACTCAATGTTTTTTTTGCCACATTACAACGCACAATCCTGATCTTCTGTCTTCTCTTTGTTTCTTCTATGAAGCTAGCTGTTCATTGAGCTGTTAGAGCTATTAGAGTAATATCAAATCTGATTTAAAAATGTATTACACATATTTTGATTTATTTTTTTATGGGGTAGTTCATCTAAATATGAAAATTCTTTCATTTACTCACTCTTTTTCTTCTGTAGGAAAATATTTTAAATAATTTTAGGAAACATTTTGGGTTACCATTGACTGCCATTATATGTGGAAAAACCCTAGACATAAACCCTATATTTTTTCTAAAAAATATATTAATTTAGCCTATGTTTCACAGAAGAAATGACGTCATGCAGGTTTTATTTGAATTTATTTTGGGGTGAACTGTCCCTTTAAGAATGCACCGATATTATAAACATATTATGAAAATGAAGTTATTCATAGTAAGTATACTATAGACCATTTCACAAGATGTAAACAACACTGGACCAGAAGCACTTCCTGTTTCAGTTTGTAACTGTTTTCTTTATTTTACATGTAAAGAAAACATCTTAAAGATGTTTGTTTACCTTTTTGATTCAGTTTTAAATGTTCTGTTGGTTGTATTTTATCCCAGCTTTTATTTAGTGTTAAAAAACTGAAACAGGAAGTGCTTCTGGACCAGTGTTGTTTACATCTTGTGAAATGGTCTATATCATTTTGTTTAAACAAATATATATATATATAAAAAAACTATTAAAAACGAAAAAAGGATTAGTTCACTTTTCTTTTCTTCTGTTAGTATAATGACTTGCTGTACATTTGCTTAATTTGTTGAATTCATCACTTGAATATGATTAACTAAAAAGTAATTGATCCCAAACTGCTTTTAAGTTAGCAAGGATGGAGCCATAGTTGTCTATAAATGTTTTATGACGCTAGAAATATCATTTATAAATCAACCCCTTCCTAAAAGCCTCCTGTTTCTACCAACTGGCTAAGACGTCTGCCTCCTATTATCGAATCTTGCTCGAGTATAATCAATTGAAATAAAACTGCAGAACCTAAAATCAATGCAAATCCAAATGGCTTTTTTAGTCAGTGAACGAACATTCATGTTGAATCAATGAATCAAAGTAGAGTGAATGACTTGACAAATGACGTTAAATGAAAATAAATAGGAGTTATGCTGTGTATTACTCAGTCAGATGTCATTTCTCGTCAAAGTATGGATGATCAGCAGATACTGAACTCACATTGAAGTCAAAACTGGATTCCTAATATAGCTGAACAATTAGGAGACAGTATAGCATTCGATCAAAATACCATGTAGGTTTTGAACACCATGTTACCTGGAACTGTTCAGAGTTGGCTGGTTTAAAGCAGTAGTCAGCATTGGTGAAATTTGGCACTGTGCACTTCTGCATATTTGGAGGGAGTCTGGGTTTCAGTCTGTACCGTCTTTGTGTCAAGTGAAGTTTATAGTCTGAGTCATCTAAAACTGAGACTTCTTATTCCACCAGAGAGACTGTAGCGCTGTTGTATTATTTAGCAAATTCAGCGTGTTGACTAAAGTCTTTGGTCTGAACACACAGAAAGTGTCAAAACAACAGGAGCGAATCACAAAAAAAATCAAATGGAAAATTCTGGACCAATCAGATTTCAGTGGTTGTGGCCATGGCAGTCGATGGGCGGCACTATACAACAAATAGAAAACAACCAAAGAAAAGTCTATTCACAGCTTATTAGGATACAATCAGATTAAAAGTGCTTTCATCGCTTGACGCTACTTCTTATCCGTGCCCACATAGGACATGGTGTCACAAATATTGTTTCCCTGCAATGTTCCTGGCATTCAAACCAATTCTTGGATTTGTTTAGCTAAAGATTTAGATTTGAGCACATTTTAATCAGGACGGCTGTCTGTTTTTGGCCTTACAGCCTCACTTATTCTGGCTTTTCCTGCTATTCACACCCTGTGTTGTTGATGTTTAGGGGTGTGTGGCCAGCACATGCGGGCACAGAGACACCCCGCCCTGTCCCAGCCGACACAGACTCCTTTTTTAGCCCACCACAAGAGACAGGGAAAATATGTTTATGTCCTTTAAGATGCCTCTGCCTCTCCCTGTTCATTTGTATGTATACATGAAATATTCATGATCCTTCTTTTCTCTGTGTCTATTGGATCCTCTTCCTGACAGATACCTTTTGTTTGTATGAGTAAAATTGGTAGATGCAAGTATTAGTCTGGGGAAGGTTTGGTTCATGTAGGCAAGGGCATGTCAGAATGTGCCTGTGCCTCAGACGAACCACACTTGATTTAAGATGTCATGAATCAAGCAGTCAGCATCAGGTTTTCATTATGCTTCAATCTCCCTATGAGGCTATTTATGTACTTCTGTTCAAATGTTTTAGGTCAGTAATATATATATTAATTTTTATTTATTTATATTTATTTATTGATTTTATTTATTTATATTTATTTATTTATTATTATATTTATTTTAGTATTTTTTTTTCCAAGAGAGAAATTAACTCTTCTATTCAGCAATAATGCACTAAATTGATCAAATGTGACAGTAAAGACGTTTTTCTTTTATTCTTTTTATTCTTAAGCAAGTACACTCTATGTACACGTACTTTTAAAAAAGTCCAAAGATTTCTATTTCAAATAAATGCTGTTCTTCTGAACTTCTGTTCATCTAAGAATGCTGAAAAAAGTTATCATGACTACGACAAAAAAAAAAAAAAAAATATGAATAACTTATTTTCAACATTGATGTTTTGAGCACCAAATCAGAATAGAATGATTTCTGAAGGATCATGTGACACTGAAGACGGGAGTAACAATGCTGAATATTCAGCCGTTTTGCGTCATTTAGAATTGTAGTACTATTATTTCATAATAGTTTTAGAGTATTTTTGAATAAATAAATGCTGCCTTGGTGAACACAAGTGACTTCCTTGTAAACATTAATAAAAATCTAACAGATCCCAAGCTTTTTAAAACTGACTGCGTTTCTCTTCCAAGAGAATGTATATGATTTGATTCTTGGTTACTGATTTGTTTTCTGTCTCTCTGTCTCATTTGCAGTGACTTCCTGATCTTGCCTGGCTTCATTGACTTCACCTCAGATGAAGTGGTGAGTCGTCTAGCCTGTGTCCTCCACACTTTCATTCACTCATTCGGTTTGTTTTCATAATGACGCGTGTGTTTAATCTACCCGTCTCTGTTTTCTCTGCACTCACTATTTTTAGCTAAATGGCTGTGTGGCTAGTTTTAAATGTCCGTATGGCCCTCACAAAAGTAACAGTAACTTACAATCCTAAAATAATGTCAATTTGAAGGGTCTATTGAGTTACGTATTTCACAATTGATGTAAACATTTTTTAAATATAGCAATGGGCTAATTTTAATGATCAAAAATGTAGTATTTAGCCCCACATTTTGCATGTGACCGAGGATTTCCCATAACTGTGTATCACTTCACTTATTGTGACTTTATTTGACTTAGCACTTTTGAATTACTCGTAAACCAGCTGCTTTTTCTCCCCTTAATTTGAATTGTGTTCTGTTTTTTTCTTTTCTATGCAATAATCCACCTACACACATTACAATTTAATGAACTTTGAACATTCTGCTGTATTATCTTTTGTTTTCTTTTTTAAATTGCCTTTGGCACACAGTAGCGCTTTAAAGATCCCTTGAATATAATAATGAAATAAATGAGGTCAGAGCTCAAAACAAAAACAATTGCCACTATGACCCAGATTGAAACTGAAACTGCTATTTGGGTTTGCAGAGGCTGGTGTAATAACAGCTTTAATGTCTTTGTGTCTGACTTTTCTTTGAGACCTCACAAACTGGCTTTCACTGAACCATAGATTTGGGAAATTTCCCACTATGGTGTCTGTTTTCCCATGAGGCCACTCTCCCCCATATTTTGGGAACTTTGGCTGTTAGTAGAAGGTTGCAAGGGGAATGTTTGTGAGCTTATCAGTGTTAGAGGAACAGTTCTCAGCACTGGTGTATAAATGAAGGTCATGGCCTTCACTGCCACCTTATTTTATCCCCACCCATATATGATGTTTTAAACTTTTTTTGTTTTTCTATGCTATTTTATGAAGGACCTGACCTCAGCATTGACCAAGAAGATCACATTGAAGACTCCACTCATCTCCTCTCCTATGGATACTGTTACTGAATCCTCAATGGCCATTGCCATGGCGGTAAGTTCCTCTTAGATCCCCCTTTTTTGATTAGACCGACATCTCTCAATCAGTAATATGTATATTTATGACTTGTTGCTCAGCTGATGGGAGGAATTGGTATCATTCACCATAACTGCACCCCAGAGTTTCAGGCCAACGAGGTGCGCAAAGTGAAGGTAAGACTGCATCCCCCTTCATAATTGTTCAATGTAAGGTTGGTGTATGTGTGTGTTTGTACCTATTAATATTTGACGCCAAGGTCTCTGTATGTGCCTCCAGAGGTTTGAGCAAGGTTTCATCACTGATCCAGTGGTCCTGAGTCCTCGTCACACTGTAGGTGATGTGCTTGAAGCAAAAGTTCGACATGGATTCTCTGGAATCCCCATAACCGAGACGGGCAAGATGGGCAGCAAACTGGTCGGCATCGTCACATCACGAGACATCGATTTCCTGTCTGAAAAAGATAATAGCAAACCCCTAGAGGAGGTTAGACTGCCTTTGTACAGCACATTTCTCCCCACATACTGTAGCAAACCCATAATACAGCGAGGGAGAAGAACTGACATTACATGACACAGTCCAACTACATATTTTACACCACTGACAAGGGAAAAATGACTACTCACAGTGTTTATGGCTAGCTTCTAGGTTTCTGCTGCTTCTCTTTCAAGGTATGAACGAAACGCGCTCTGTTGCGCTGTTTGTTTGCGTTCAGCTACGGTAGAAACATGACGTCACAATATGTCGATTAGACCCAGACCGATATATCGGCAGACCGATATTATCGGTCGATATTAGGTATCGGTATTGGTATCGGCAGTTATAATGGCCGATAAATGAATATTTCAAAAATAAAATAAAAACGGACGAAACACGCTTGAACCATGTCATGAGTGTTTGGAAATGTATAGTTTGTCCACCAGAGGGCACTCTACACCGTTCCTGTTGGCAACACTCGTTGAGTTGGTCATGATACATACAGTACATTGCTTGAATAACAATTAAAAGAACATCCCCATCAGTTCTCTTAACTCAAATAAGCATGAACAAATTTGTGACTACCATGTCCAGTTTTAAATAAATAAATAAAATATCGGCCGATATATCGGAATATCGGATTTTAAAACCCAAAAATATTTGTATCGGTATCGGCCTTCAAAATCCTTTATCGGTCGGGCTCTAATGTTGATCTTCATGTGCGCTTCAGTTATGTAGATATAAATTTCACTGAAAACATAGTTATGGATGTCATATTGCATTTCTGTTAATAGACACTCACAATTTGTACACATTGCACCTTAAAATCGCTTATTTTTTTGTGGAAACCATGATATAAAAAAATCTCACCAACACAATAAACTCTACGCAACTAACACTTTGACGCTTCAAAAAGTTCATAAAGACAAAATAATCCACATGCATTGAGCGGTTCAGTCCAAATTTCATAAATTTTCGCTTTATATGATGATAAAACTAGAATTTAGGCTTTTATTCTCATATAAACACTGATCAGTGAACATAAACAGAAGCTTAACCGGACCTGCTTGAAGCTCAAACGTGCTGCGCAACACATAAGAATGAACCTCATCGGTTCTTACAGATACTCAAACCTGCTGCTTAACACTAGAATTGACCTCATTGGTTCTTGCGGAGGCTCAAGTGTTGCGTAACAAGAGAATAAAAATAATAAATATAAACATAAGTTCAATTTGTTCATCATATAAAGCAATCATGTCTCTTCAGTAAATGGACTAAACTGCTTAATTCATTTGGATTAGTTTTAGGATAATTTTTGCTTGGCATACTGTACCTTTATGGCTGTGTAACTGTAATCGTTTTCTAGGCCATGACTAAAAGAGAGGATCTTGTTGTTGCTCCTGCTGGTGTCACACTGAAAGAGGCCAATGACATCCTGCAACGCAGCAAAAAAGGTGAGAACACCCAAACACAAACCATTATTCATCAAATGCAATTGTACTCCATTTGTACTCAAATTTGTACTTCCAACCACAGGAAACTATATAGAATATAGTATTTGACCATTTTAAAAGTTCTCAAAAGGTTATATTTGTTTACGTGTATAGGTAAGCTGCCCATCGTGAATGACAAGGATGAACTGGTGGCCATTATAGCCCGCACTGACCTGAAGAAGAACAGGGACTATCCTCTGGCCTCCAAAGATTCTCGCAAACAGCTGTTGTGTGGTGCCGCCATCGGCACCCGTGATGACGACAAATACCGTCTGGACTTACTCACGCAGTCTGGGGTAGATGTAGTGGTTCTGGTAGGTCAAAGCCACTTACGTTGCAAGTTGTAAATTTTGTAAATCCGGTGGTGCGTGCTGGTTTATTAATGCTTGAAGGGGGATTATCTTCAATATAAAAGTAAAGCCAAAACTGTTGGAATTATTTTGGTCTCTCAATTAAAGGAGTAGTTCACTTTTGAAAAAAACTTTTGCTGATAATTTACTCACCCCCATGTCATCCAAGATGTCCGTCTTTCTTCAGTCGAAAAGAAATGACGATTTTTGATGAAAACTTTCCAGGATTTTTCTCCATATAATGGACTTCAATGGGAACCAAACGGTTCAAGGTCTAAAAGACAGTTTCAGTGCAAACTGCAAACTGTTCAAAGGGCTTTAAACGATTTCAGACGATGAATAAGGGTCTTATGAAGCAAAACGATCGCTCATTTAATAAATAAATAACAGGACTCTCCTGTTTGAACTCGTTCATCAACATGAACAAATCTTTTTCCGAGTCAATTTGTTCGCTTCGTTCGTTGAACAGAACAGAGCAAGGCGAGCATTTGAGCTTATAAAACTTAAACTTAGTTATTTTTTTTTTTAAATGAGCGATCGTTTCGCTTGATAAGACCGTTATTCATCGTCTGGAATTGTTTAAAGCCCTTTGAAGCTGCACTGAAACTCTCATTTGGACCTTGAACAGTTTGGTTCCCATTGAAGTCCATTATATGGAGAAAAATGCTGGAATGTTTTCATCAAAAACCTTAATTTCTTTTCAACTGAAGAACGAAAGAAAGACATGGACATCTTGGATGACATGGGGGTGAGTAAATTATCAGCACAAGTTTTTTCAAAAGTGTTCGAACTGCTCCACTAGCATCACTACAGTATATCATTTTTTTTTTTTTTTAGGATTCGTCACAAGGCAACTCGGTATACCAGATTAATATGATCCATTACATCAAGCAGAAGTACCCAGAGCTGCAGGTTGTGGGAGGAAATGGTGACTATAAGATTATATTACTACAATAAGCAGTTGCTCTCTTTGGTTCCCTCTGACTTCAGTCTCTCTCTTTCTCTTTTTCTCTGCAGTGGTTACAGCTGCTCAGGCGAAGAACCTGATAGACGCAGACGTGGATGCGTTGAGAGTGGGAATGGGCTGTGGTTCAATCTGCATCACACAGGAAGGTTGGGAGTTAATCTCACACACATACAGTACATTCAACATATTACCCACCTGTTGCCTGGGATGTAAACTGCGGTGTATGGGCATAATCGTGTTAAATATCAGCTTTAAAATGTGGATTTAAAAACTTACTGAAGAGTGTCCATCTGTCTCCCGTAGTTATGGCATGTGGACGACCTCAGGGCACCTCCGTGTATAAGGTGGCAGAATACGCTCGAAGATTTGGGGTGCCGGTCATCGCAGATGGTGGCATCCAGACGGTCGGCCATGTGGTGAAGGCTCTGTCCTTGGGGGCATCGACAGGTAGTTCACACTTCACAGTTAAAGTAAAAAAACAAACCGTGTCTGTTTACATGAAACAAATGTATTCAATCTGCAGTGATGATGGGATCTCTGCTGGCCGCCACCACAGAAGCTCCAGGCGAGTATTTCTTTTCAGATGGGGTGCGACTGAAGAAATACAGAGGAATGGGCTCACTAGATGCCATGGAGAAGAACACCAGCAGCCAAAAACGATACTTCAGGTGTGTGTTTGTGTAGTACATTGTTCACTGGACATAAATTATTCAGTAATAGGAAGCACAGAATGAAATACTATCTTAACACAAATATTATGTGACTCAGTGTGCAGGATATGATATATAATATCACATGACCTTTCTTTCTGTGTGCTGATTGGCTGTCTTGGCAGTGAGGGTGATAAGGTGAAGGTGGCTCAAGGAGTTTCAGGCTCTGTGCAGGATAAAGGCTCAATCCATAAATTTGCCCCATACCTCATTGCTGGAATCCAACACGGCTGCCAAGACATTGGCGCGAAAAGCCTCTCGGTGCTCCGGTAAGTATGTGTCCGTGGTTTATTGTGCATTTGGTTTGTTTTTATGCACTATAAAAATTCTTAAACTGTTACATGTTTAGTTCCATGATGTATTCTGGAGAGCTGAAGTTCGAGAAGAGGACCATGTCTGCTCAGGTGGAGGGTGGTGTGCATGGACTTCACTCGTAAGTCACCAGAGGGTGCCAGCGCTCAACATTACCTTCATATGTCGAAGCTAAGATCAGTATCATTCTCTGAAACGATTTTCTTTTGTATCCATAGTTATGAGAAGCGACTTTACTGATGGAATGGGCCGAACACGGATGAGAAGCAGTGACCAAACACCTCAGACAAATCCTAGAACTTAGCCCACCCTGCCAGCACCCCTTCTCTGCTCTTCACCGTTCCTCAGGCACAACCACCACAGTGACAGATGGAGAAGAGAAGTATTAAATGAGTTTGAGAGCAAGACCTCAAACCAATTCAATCCCCAAAAACATGGCAGTTGCACTCGAGGGAGCATCAGGGTTGCCAAAAAGCTGCCTGAGTGTGGGTTTTTGCATCTGACCGGTAAAAACAAGGCGGTATTTGGAGCGAAGCCTTTTTTTTTTTCTTCTCCCAAACTTGATTCGACCATGTTGCAGCATCAATTTCTATATCTCCATATCCACCTGCAAAATGATGACAGCTGTGAAACCAAGTGCTCCAGCTATACTTGAGGCAATCTTTTCTTTAGTAGATTTGTAACTGCTGAAGACGCTAAATGATATATTTTTTATTTTCGAAGGTAGAAATCAGATGTATGTAGAAAATTGTCAATTTTGTGATGGTTAAATGTTTATTGTACTATCAGTGTGACAGATCTCTCTATGTCCGAAATTGCCGGGTCCTGTAACTGGGTACGATTTATATTCAAAATTATTACCAAAACCGTTATTTGTAGATATACGTAGTTGCTCTGAGTGTCATGCATTGTGTCTGGATTATTTTGGAACAAACTGGGTTTGTTGATCAAGGTCAGGTAATGATGGCTGACTTATAATGCAGGCTCTTGGGAATACTGATTATGGGATCTATTATTGCAGTTGCGATTCTTGAGTGCAGAACAGGTATAGACCATTTCACAAGATGTAAAAAACACTGGTCCAGAAGCACTTCCTGTGTCAGTTTTTTAACACTACTTAAAAGCTGGGATAAAATACAACCAACAGAACATATAAAACTGAATCAAAAAGTTAAACAAACATCTTTAAGATTTTTTCTTTACATGTGAAATAAAGAAAACAGTTACAAACTGAAGCAGGAAGTGCTTCTGGACCAGTGTTGTTTACATCTTGTGAAATGGTCTATAAGAGTTTTAGTTTGCATGCTTTTTTTAATAGCCAATGTTTCTATTACTTATACAGCTGTCAAGTGCATTTCTTTGTCACTAACTGACAATTATTCTTCTATAAACGCCAAACAAATGCTTTGAGTATCCTGGTCCTCTCTCAGGATATGTTTGTCCATGTCATCTAAACATCCCCTACAGCTTTGCGTTTTGGGTGAACCTGAGACATGCCTTGTATTGTGTAATAAATGAAGGACACATTCGTCTTAACCCAAAACACACCACTTGTGCTTGCCAGATCCTATGGCTTCATATAATCATCACTGCCAAATGAAGCACGTCATCCATGTGGATTTAAAGGGTTAGTTCACCCAAAAATGAAAATTCTGTCAGTATTTACTCACCCTCATGTTGTTCCAACCCCGTAAGACCTTCGTTCATCTTCGGAACACAAATTAAGATATTTAAGATATTAAGATCGCTCCTGCATACAGTCCGTAGGCTTCTTGAGGGACTGGCTCTTGCTGTCCCCGAAAAGTCATTAAAGACATCGTTAAAATAGTCCAAGTGACTACAGGGGCTCAATCTTAAGTTAATCAAACGACGAGAACACTTTTGTGCGCAAAAAACCAACAAAAATAACGACTTTACTTCAACTATTCACTTCCTTCTCCATGGGCCTGTAGTCAGTTAACGTAGTGTGATTGCGTAGAGCTACGTCACACGTAGGCTCACTATTGGCTGACGCTGGTCATGTGTGTGTGATGCGTGTGACGCACAATAACAGAAGCTTACGCTATTAAACTAGTAACCTGACTCGCGCAGAGGGAGAAATAAACGAATAGTTGAAATAAAGTCGTTATTTTTGTTGTTTTTTTGCGCACAAAAGTGTTCTCGTCGTTTGATAAACTTAAGATTGAGCCACTGTAGTCACTTGGACTATTTTAACGATGTCTTTAATGACTTTTCGGGGACAGCAAGAGCCAGTCCCTCAAGAAGCCTACGGACTGTATGCAGGAGCGATCTTAATATCTTAAATATCTTAATTTGTGTTCCGAAGATGAACGAAGGTCTTACGGGGTTGGAACAACATGAGGGTGAGTAAATACTGACAGAATTTTCATTTTTGGGTGAACTAACCCTTTAAGTGTTTTTGTAATACGTTTTCAGTACTATTTGTTTTGCATTTTCTACTAGAGGATTTTTGTTTAGAAATGATACATTCTTTGCATTGGATGTGTGGACTATTATCCAGTCTGTATAACATTATCAGTATGACGATGTACAAAAACTAGTTTGCATCCTTTAATCCACTGGATGTTTGCTTGTTGTTAGTATGTTGCTTTGCCCACAGTCACAGTCTTGACAACTCAAGAGCCAAGTTTGTTTACTGCAGTGTACTCAACTGAAGTTGCTTATCCTGTTCAATATTATTGAAAAGAAATAAAAATTAACTTGCGCAGTTTTTTTATGTAAAATATTTATGCATGGGACAAATGTCAATTTTCAATATATTTATTGAAAATCTTCAACAGCCTCTAAATGACTAACATTAGATGTATCAGCAGTTTCTCACATAGTTCATATTTTCAGGACATGCACACTATAAAATGTACAAAGTCACTTTTTCTTGATTTTAATATGTATTGAAGTAACAGTGTTACGATTATTTGAAAACGATGTAAAACCTGGCAGATTATTCATTAAGTGTAGTTCATATCAAATATACACTATAAGCAGGATAAAATGGCAGTCTATAGCGCAGTTGTAAGTTATTATCAGCAGAGTGTATTGCAAGAGTACTTCCATCCTACTCTGAAGTTTTTTATCCTCTCTGTTCATAAAACTGTATAGGTCCTCAACATAATGCATTGATAAACAAAGTTACATGTGCAACCAAAGACTAGAAGCCCAAAGACCTTTTCCATATATTTAAAATTATGAGATTATAAAATTGGATTTGGCAGGTTGTACAGCATTTAATTTGAAACTATTTTCTGATGTTATAGTCCATATTATGTGTTTTACAGTATGGTTATCAGTAGTTTGCACAATCACAGTATTAATCATATAGACCAAAAACGGATTTTGTACAAATTCATACAAACATACACTATTAGCATTGAAAAGAAGTTCTAAAACACTTTTTTTGTTGCTTTTTTTGCTTTTGTTTACAATTACAAATTTATCAATAATTATCAAAAAACCTTTGTACAAAATCTGTCTATGCGTCTGGCAATCGGTGGCACTTCTTAAACCTTTACAAGGATATTGACTTCAGAATCCATCTCTTTGGAGAACTTACCTGACAAACCAACAAGCACCCCTACAAAATGAAACATTTGGCACAGTTCTGGTCCATAAAACATTTTCCAATATATCTACATAGAGCAAATGTGTTTTGACACCTTGGTAAACACTCACCAAATCACCTGAGCTGCACATTACTTTCCCATCACATCACTGAAACTCTTTTGGCATCATCATGTTACGTCATTCGGTTGTGTCTGAAAGTCAAGGTCTCCCCCTAGAGGTCAATAGTCTCACTGCAGACGCTATGAGCATCAATCTCTCTGCACACACTGATAAATTCTTCTTGGACAGACTGGTCAAACTCTGATTGCTGGTCCAGACTCTCCTCTGCCTTTAATGTTCTGTAGGGTCTCTGTAAGCTTCCCCCTTGGTGGCTGGAACCCCCACTGGGTGGTGGATGGTGTCCCTCTGGACTAGAGCACAAAATCAGTGATGATCCACCCTGAGACTGTCTGTAGAGGGAACAGGAACTGGAGCTGCCTCTCCAGGGCTCTGGAGATGAGCAGCAAGTGGAAGATGACAGTGAGGGAGACGGAGATGGAGGAAAACCCAGTGATGGACCTTCTGGTTGGGCTTGAGAAGGAAGGGGAAATTGGGGTAGCACTTCCACACATGAAGATGTTCGGTACAGGCCTGGATCAGGAGTAAGGGTGTCTCTCAGGGTTTGGGTACCACTGGAGTTGGTCTCTCTACCGTTCAGGCAGTGGTCACTAGAGGTGAAAGGTCGTAAGGGGCTGAAGATACTCATGGGAAATAGAGACTCGCTAAACAGTGCCTCATCAATGCTTCGACGCAGATTTATGGGGGACGGAGGGCGCAGGTCTGCTGTGGAGTCGCTAGTACATGATGAACCCACAGAAGGGGCACCAATGTTGGGCAAGTCCAGGTCAAGGTCCCGATAGGCCAATGCCCGATTGCTATGGTATAAAAGGTCAAGGCCATTCAAGCTACTGAGACGGTCATCCACCAATGTGTACAAGGGCAGGCACTCTGTATCTCCATGCCCGATTGGATCGCAGATGGCCAGCTTCTCCTGCTGGGATAGAGTCCACTGGTAGCTCCCAGGAATGATAGGTGACTTTGCCGTAAGAAGATCTTTCCAGCAACTGCCTGGTTGGGGAAGATGATCAGAACAGTAGACTGGTTGAGCAACTACCAGAACCAGTGTGAGGCAGACCACTGCTTCACACACTCGGCAGCTGAATTGGAAAGTCCACCACGGCCAAGGCCGAAAGGACTCAGCACTTCCAGCAATGCCGAGAGCATGCAGCATGGCATAGAGTTGTAGGCCCGCACAAGCTAGAGAGAAGACAGCAGAGAGTAGCACTGCAGCTGCTGCCCGGTCCCAATCTCGGCTTTCTGCAAATGGGCAGCGGTTGTAGCGTTCAGCTGGTGTTGGTGATGTGTTGTTCAGATGATAAATATGCTTGGAGTCGGCGCGAACGTAGCAGTAGAACACAAAATATGCAGCTGATAGGAAAGCTGCCAGAGCCACAAAGGCACCTCTAGAGATCAAGGACAGAAACAGGTAGACCTGCTGGTCAACATGGAGCAATGCAACAGGTCCAAAGGCAGCAGCAAAGTGCAGAAACACCAAGCAGGCCAGGAAACAAGGTCTTTGAAAGGCGGAATAGGACAGCTGCATACGAGAGCGCATTGACAGGAGCAGGAATACTAGGCCGAAGGCAGCAGTTATGCAGGGGAATGGTGCCTCGTAAAGTAACAGCGAGGCCTCTGTGGATGCCATGCGGTCCTGGTATCCGTAAGCATCGTACAATAGGGCAAAGGCCCTAGTGCAGCCAGCGGCCATCAGGCAGAGACTGACCAGAGCAAAGTAGCCACAGCCTGATGGGTACTGTAGGGGCAGGCACAGAAGGTTCAGGGTGGAGGCCAAAGCGACTAGACAGAACACAGTGCCCAGGCCGTAAATGTGTGCATCCCATGCTGAACCCCATGCTGCCAGGGCACTGTTCCAATCAGAATACAGTGCCACAAACATGGGTGGGGCTGGAAACAGGATTGGACTCTGAGAGAGGTTGGTGGAGATGGTGGTTGTGCTGTCATTTTTGCTGATGTTGCTCAGGACAGTGGTGGGCCAAGTGTCACTTGAACTGCAGATTCCAGAACGTTCTGCGTTGCAGTCGGGGAGCGCAGATTCTTGAGTAAGGTCTGTGATCCAGTCTTCAAACATAGTGGTGGGCATTTCTGAAAAGAAGAGCATACGTATTGTATTATTAGTAACAGAAGATGTATCAAGAGATATATGTAAATCATATTTTTTTTTATATAGTTTCTTAAAAGTGTTAATATTAGTGTGGTGTCATGTAATTGTTCTTGGTAACACTTTATTTTGATAGTCCACTTTAGACATTCAACTAACTATAAGTAAATTTGCCACGACATGTCTACTAACTATCATTAGAGTATTAGTAGACTATTTGCTTAATATCTGCTAACACTTTATTTTGTTGGTCCCCAACAGATATTCAACTGACTGTAAGTAACTTAGCAACTACAAGTCAACTTGTTCTCCTAACCTGAACCCTAACACCTAACAGTCTACTGACAGTCTACTACAGCCTACTAATAATCTAATGACAGTTAGTTGACATGTAGTTACTTATAATTAGTAGAATGTCTAAAGTGACTATCGAAATAAAGTGTAACCTTGTTCTTCTTTAAAGTGGTGATATCATAAATGTCTTTATTCCTTTAATTGTTTTTTTCCAAGGGTTCACTTATAAATGTCTAACTCTTATCTCAAAAGAATGAGGAAAACTTGATTCCCCATGAAATGACCAATTTAAAGGGTTAGTTCACCCAAAAATGAAAATTCTGTCAGTATTTACTCACCCTCATGTTGTTCCAACCCCGTAAGACCTTCGTTCATCTTCGCAACACAAATTAAGATATTTAAGATATTAAGATCACTCCTGTATACTAGTCCATCGGCTTCTTGAGGGACTGGCTCTTGCTGTCCTCGAAAAGTCATTAAAGACATCGTTAAAATAGTTCAAGTGACTACAGGGGCTCAATCTTAACTTTATCAAACGACGAGAACACTTTTGTGCGCAAAAACAAACAAAAATAACGACTTTATTTCAACTATTCGTTTATTTCTCCCTCTGCGCGAGTCAGGTTACTAGTTTAATAGCGTAAGCTTCTGTTATTGTACGTCACACGCATCACACACATGACCAGCGTCGGCCAATAGTGAGCCTACGTGTGACGTAGCTCTACGCAATCACACTACGTTAACTGACTTACAGGCTCATGGAGAAGGAAGTGAATAGTTGAAATAAAGTCGTTATTTTTGTTGATTTTTTGCGCACAAAAGTGTTCTCGTCGTTTGATAAACTTAAGATTGAGCCCCTGTAGTCACTTGGACTATTTTAACGATGTCTTTAATGACTTTTCGGGGGCAGCAAGAGCCAGTACCTCAAGAAGCCTATGGACTGTATGCAGGAGCGATCTTAATATCTTAAATATCTTAATTTGTGTTCCGAAGATGAACGAAGGTCTTACGGGGTTGAAACAACATGAGGGTGAGTAAATACTGACAGAATTTTCATTTTTGGGTGAACTAACCCTTTAAATGTAAAAGCTGAATAAATCACACAAGTAAACAAAGAAAATAATCTGTAGAAAACCAGAAAAGCTTCTGGTAATTTCTAGTTTATGGACATTTATTTTAACCCTGAAACACAATGCAATGCAGAATTCAAAATATGGATAAACACCTTTGGAAAAATAAATACACAAAATTCCTTTGTGCATTGGGCCCTATTTTTTTACGGAGTGTATACAAAATGGTTATTCCAGCACAGACAACCAAGGCAGTCATTACTGTCACCAACATCTCTGACAACATATGATTTGTTTTTCTGTGATAGACATCGCCACTAGAGGACATTTCTAAGGTGTCTGCACAGCTAAGCATGTTTCATAGTGGAAAATCATGGTTTAGCTGTTTAGATTCCCAAATCTGGTAAACTCCACCTAATGTTTTAAAGGGATACTCCACTTTTTTTTTTGGAAATAGGCTCATTTTACCACTCCCCCAGAGTTAAACAGTTGAGTTTTACCATTTTCGAATCCATTCAGCCGATTTTCTGATATTTAGAAGAATATCAGTAACCAGATAGTTTCTGGTCTCATTGACTTCCATAGTAGGAAAAAATATACTATGGAAGCCAATGAGACCAGAAACTGTCTGGTTACTGATATTCTTCTAAATATCAGAAAATCGGCTGAATGGATCCGAAAACGGTAAACTCAACTGTTTAACTCTGGGGGAGTGGTAAAATGAGCCTATTTCCAAAAAAAAAAGTGGAGTATCCCTTTAAGGTAACAGATCTCAATATGATTTCTAATGAGGAAAAATCTATTATTTGTCTAAGTAGCGGGGATTGGTGGTTTACCATGAAACATCTGTTGTTTGTATATAAATGTAATTGTGATTGGATTGTTGGATTCAGAGATTGGTGTGGGAGGAGGCTGCTGTTTTAGGTTTTGGATTCTGTGGCTTGGCTCTGGTGCTGAGGAGTGTTACATACATTAGAGTTTCTTAGCCAAACAGAGTTGGAACAGCACGTGAAGTTCCATGTGACAGCCATTTGCAATTCTGTAAATGCTCCATAACGCTTACCAAACATTTTCTTTGGAAGTTATACAAGTAATCCAAAAGCAAGTCCTCAGATGAACTAACATCAACGTACAGCTTGTACACTTTATAGAAACCCACACAGGTTTGTTTGTGGCATCTAATGTGCCACTGTAAAATGAGATAAGACATTCAAAACATTCACATCCCCCTGCACAGGAAGGATTGCCCTGCTGATGTGCAAATCCATATGAGATGGATAATATTAGCTTCCACAGCCATATCAATCCTGTGCATAACAGTGTGCAGATGTTCGTCTGCTCTTAAAAGACTGACACATCTAATTACACCCTTTTCAGAGCAGATGAGTCATAACTCATCTTAGCTGGCATGATCAGGCTTTCTAATAGACCCTGTGAGTTTACTGAAGCCCTGAGACAAAGCATGGAGGCAATTATACAAAACAGGAGCCATTTGTGTACCTGTATAAATGCGTAATAAATAACTTGATGAATAGCTGATGCCAACTTTTACTGTGTCAAATGAACCCATTTTTCTAAACAACCCAAACGATCGAGTTTTTAATCATTTCAATAAGGACCCCAATTATTGCCCTGTCCTCATCCCCGTTTTAACATAAAGGAATTGATGAAAGATATAAGACAAAAGGCAGGCATATTTTTCTCATTGTTTCTCATTTGTAAGGTCAACCAACCAATACATCATGTCTGGATGATGTTGAGTGCTGGCAAGACCCTGCCTCATATTGGGTTGATTCTGTAGTCTTTTATATGCTGGTGGTGAAAGGCAATTTCCTGTTACACCCAGAACCAAATTAACTGCTTTATGACCTCCCTTCTTTTAAAAAAAGCATAGGCCTGCGCAGAGACATGGGTCATTCCCAAAGATGGGTCTGGTATTTTTCGCTCATGGCTGATGACCACCACTTTGACTAAATATACACATTGCGCCAGACAGTGGTGAGCATTGGCTTCAATTTTTATGTCAAAAACCTTTCTAGTGTTTCTTCTGATGGTGGGAGTAGATGATCAAACCTAACCGGCCTTGATTAATGGTAGCGTGTGTCTAACAGCCGCACACTGCTCATTAGATGCTTCTCTTTAATCAAAACCACCACAACAGTAACCACCAAGCAGCACTCATTAGATATATAGCTTGACATCAAGATGGCTGTTTATCCACTTACATTAAATATAGGTTGCAGTCAAGTCCTCTAGTTCGCCACAAACTTTGGCTGATCGGAATACACTGACCTGATTTCTTTTCAATATAACTGTCTGAAAGGATGTTCAGCTTTTTTGTGTAAACTGCTGAACCGAATGTGACGTACATACAAAAAGGATTTATTTATAGAGAAATTTTATCTGGTTGTGTATTAATGAATAAGAGTTTATTATGAGTTTAATATATTGCTTTTGCTGCATTCTTAAGACAAAATAGATGCCGTAAATTCAATCTCCTCTTTTGATATTTGTATTTTCCTGGCGTCATATATAAATGTATGCTAATCGAAGACTTTTTGTCAACGTTTTGCATCATTTGCTTAATAAAAACAACTTTAAAAAGTACATTTTTCAAATTATAAGCTTTCTACACAAAGGTTTAAAAGATTGCAAGTGATAGTAAATACTTTTACATTACTACAAAAAATAAATTCTATTTTAAATAAACTGAACAGTCTTCAGAAAATCAAAAAAAGAAAACATTTTTTATCATGCTTTCCACAAAAATGTTTTCATCATTGATAATTGGAAATGTTATTAAGCACCAAATTAGCATATTACACTGATTTCTGAAGAATCATGTGACTGAATTAATGGCTACTGAAAATTCAGCTTTTCCATCAGATCAATAAATTATATATTAAATTATATTCAAATAAAAAATAGTTTTAAATTGCAATAAATATTTCACAATGTTAGTTTTCACTGTATTTTCAGTACAAGACTGTACAACCAGTGTTGAAAACAAAATTAAAAATATTCAATATTTATTTTTGCTGACTGGCTAAGCGTATAAATTATTCTTACTTTGATAATTCATCATTTTTATCCGAAATCTATGTCCTTGTGGGGACATTTTATTGTCACCATGAGGAAAACAGTGTATAAATCATCCTAAATTATGTTTTTTTTTTAAATGTAAAAATGCAAAAAGTTTTCTGTGATGGGCATGTTTAGGTGCAGGGTTAGTGATGCACAGTTTGTACACTATAAAAATCATATGTTTATGGAATGTCCCCACAAAACATGAAAACACAACGTGTGTGCGTATTTGTATAAATAAGACTGAACAGAACGTTGAGCAAAAATAAATTCAATTGTTCTTTTTAAAAGACCAGCATTTAGCTACCAAATAGTCCAAAGTCAAACCAGTTTAGACCAGCATGGAAATTAAAGTTTGACTCAGCGTGGTGGTATCTGTTTTTAGACGCTATCAAATGTCAATCTAACTCGAATGAGATCTGGATGGCATGAAAAACAGCTTTAGTAAGGGTCCAGCTCTCTTAATGAGAATAATTTGAGTTTGATTAACTACAGGGTGTGTGCAGTGTGTCAATCTGACATGGAGAGAAAGTGTG